TCCTGGTAGAATATTAAAAGGTCCAACTACAAGAAAATGGCCGGACTTGAATTAAGTCCAACTGAAGATAAAGAAGACAAACAAGACCGAGATATATATATATATATATATATATATATATATATATATATATATATATATAACTATGAACCTAAAGAGCCAGGCAAACCTACGGTAGGCCGGCGTACCCTGACGATCCGCGTAGGTGAAACCTAGGTAGATTTGCCTGGCTTTTTAGTTTAGGTTCATAGTTAGATTTGCTCTACTTAGTGTATTGAGCACTTAGTTACTTTTGTTTTACTCGATTTGGAGGTTTTTTTTCTTGGACTCTGAGATTGGATTCTGAACGGTTGTTTTCGCCTCAATTACATGTTCTTAGTTCTTTCTTTTTTATCCCTTATTTTTCCTTGGGTATTTGTTTGTTCATTTACAAGCCAATACACCTAAGCTTTTTCCAGACGAGTATAATTACTTATATTTATATTATTACTGTTATATATATATATATATATATATATATATATATATATATATATATATATATATATATATATTAAACAAAACAATTATTCAATGGACAATAACATTTGTATATTTGTGTGAATATTGGTGTCTCGTTCTTTGGTGAATGTTTGTACGTACGTGTATGTGTGTATAATGTTCATGGCGTCTCCCACAAATGGGAAAACGCGGATCTTCTAAGAGAGCTTACATTGTAGTCGCTGAAATGAAGAAATGTAAAAGCGGATTTACCTCACCTCCACGCGGTACGAGGCCTGAAGGAAAGAGAACGAAGTAAGAAGTCGCCCAGTATTTATAGTATAGGGAGAGTGATCCCTAGTGACATTTTGGGAATTAAGGAGGAGCTAACTCCGACAGTTGCTTCAATCCTTGGTCTGGGTAGCATAGGCACAGACCTAGTGGAAACAGCGTGAGCAATAACTGAATGGTACCGAAACAAGGCAAAACTGGGTATTCCTAGACACGGACAGCGGAAAGAGAACAATATAAATGCGTACATAAAATAAACGGTTCGGTTCAATTTTCCCTGTAGTTAAGACGGATCGACAAACACATGTAGAAGACCAGAGAACACAACGATCGAAACGTTGTGATGTTAAGTGCAAAGATGAGGACATTAACCCGACTGTAAATAATGTAAATAATCAATAAATTTAACATGGTAAACATTTTAAAATTATTTTTTATTCCAGAATGAACTTATTTTTGGCTACACAGCTTAAGAGAGCAAGGTGATTTTTTTTGTTCTGCTCTATGAGCATGCAGTTTCTTTTCTTGTTTTTTTTTTTTTTTTTTTTTTTATCGGGCGTTTCCCGCGCTTTCGCCAGCACGAGTCGAATTAAATGAATCATCACACGAAAAGCAAACAAACAACAACAAAAAACATCTCTAAGTCAATACATCTGTCGCAGTTCACAATGTATATTTTGCAAGCATATATATATATATATATATATATATATATATATAGTATTGAGGCAACAGATCATTATTTAAACATATATTGTTAAATATAATGACCCCTAAGAAAGATGATGTAGATTCGATCCCAGAAGATCTGAGCTTGTATGTAACATCTGCGAGAAGGCTGTTCTGTCTCGTGCTAGACATCTAAGATCATTTGAAAATCAGAAGTCTAACGCCAACTATGAGAAGATTCTTCCTAACACACCTGCAAGGTAGTTATATTAGTTTTATGATAAAATTTTCAGGTCAGACGCCGGGCTGAAGAGGGACATGAGACTACACGAGACTGTGTAAATTCCAAAATTCCAATCTCCTGAAGAAAGCTGGAACGTACAACGGCCGAAACGTTGTGAATATGTCAATGAAGATGAGGAATATAGACAAAAATCAGATAATTGTTGGATTTTAATGAACTTTAATAACTTATTAAGAAATATCTGTCTATATTTCTGAGATGAGGTATTATGTACATTATTTACATTATTCGGACTATTGTCTTCATCTATGTCGTCATATTTATTAAAAACGTTTGGGCCGTTGTACACCCTCCCCTCCCCCCCGGCCTTCTTCAGGTGGTTGGAATGTCGAACTGAACCCTTTATTTCGTTCTCTGGGGTAGACTGTTCTAGTTCCACGTGCCATGTCTAATGGATGTCAGTTATCAGTTATCTCCTGTTAATTTCCCTCTGAAAGTTCTCCACTGCCTTAACCGGGTATTGAACTCACACTCTTTGGGCCGAAACGTTGTAATAAATATTGCGACAAAGATGAGGACAATAGTCCGAATAATGTAAATAATTATTCAGAAATTAATGAAATTATTTTAAATGTTGCTTTTTGAAAAAAATTGTAAAAATATTTTTTTTGTTGTTACATTTGTTACTCAGCACCCGTTTAAATTTTATGAAATTTAGAGAAATTTATTTTTGTTTATATTTGTTATGAAAAGCACAATTCTTCGGAGAATCCAAAGAAAATCTACCCTGACTGGAAAAATAAAAAAATGAAAAACTAAGATATTATTTAATTAGAAAAGTTTTTAATTGCCTTTATGAATCAAATATATTATGGACGCTATTGTCGTACGAAAACAAATTCGATGGATAAAGATATTTTACAGGAATTGTTTTGACGTTTTGCAATTTTAATTAGAATAATTTATGAAATTAATTTTAAATCTATTAAGTCTCTGTATTAATTTGTAGCGGTCAAGTGATATTGTTATTAAATTAAAACTTTATTTACGAATCATAAATAGAAAATCTCACAACAACCCCCAGATTTTTAGAATTAATTTTGATTTTTTTATTGTGTGTATAAACGTGGTGAACTTTGTAAATACCGACGTTCAGACATGACATTATGAAAGAATAAAAGAGACACATATAATAAATATAAAATTTTTATGTAATTTTCTAACAGTTTCCTCAACAAGCGTCTTTGTAAGTAAGGCTATGAAGCCAAAGTATCTAGAATTCAATAAAATATTAGACTGCTTAAAATATTTTCTTCATTTTTTTAAGATTAATGGATAATTAAAACAGTTATATAAAAAAGCCGTTCACGTTGTATTCCTCAAGTAATTTCTATCAGTTCTTTCCCCCTTACTTATAATTTCCCAAATATCAGGTTGTCAATAAATAACTGAACCCGGCAGGAGCAAAACCTCTCTGTGTTAAAAAAAATGCTTTTCTACTATACTTAAAATTAAAAGTAATATTTTATTTTTGAAAAAATCTTTTTTATAAATATGATTATTTTGTGCTGTCAACATGGACCAATTTAGAGATTTTACAGATAAATAGAAAAATGATTCCAATCTATTTAAATTCGATTTGAAAGTATTTTGCTTATTGAAAATATTGAATTTAATTTATTAGCTTGGAATTAAAACTGAAATTCAAACTTGAAGTTTTTCCATTTTTTATAATGCATTTTAAACCATTTTTAAGGTTTCGCTTTTTTTGGAGGTGCCTAATTGTATTCAATAAGACCAATTTTACAAGAACAAAATTAAATGCATGTAATAATGCTTCCTTTTATGAAAATTCATTTTAAAAGAACGACCACTTAAAAGAATGGTTCTCAAACATATTTTGCCCAATACACACTTTTCACCATGAATCAGAATGTCATTCGCACCTTTCCAAAATTGTTAGACTTAAAAGGAGCATTCCAAATAATATGTACAGGTATACCCAACCTTACGTCTGTAATTTGTTCCAGGAGAGGCGACGTAAGTCGAAAAACGACTTAAGTCAAATTTACTTATCCCCGAATTTACTTGTCACTAGACTACACCACAAATAACCAATCCCTGTTCTGTATTTTATTTATAAATGCATTTTTAATAATATATGGCCAATAAGAATCTATTTTAAGCTTACAAACAAATAAATTTTAGTTTTTAATCACGAATGGCGCTGACAACGACGCCAAACGGTAGATATTGGAACTACCGTGGAAAAAGCCAACATTGAGCTCGTAAAGACCGCTAAATAAGACGACAACACAGAATCACAGATGTTTTCATATTTCGTTCTCTAGGATTTATTTATTTATTATATTAACATTTACTGAAAATGTATGTATTTAATATGATTTTATATACTTTTATTCTTATTTATTGTACAGTAACACGATTTTATGTGCTTTTAACGCTTTTCTAGTGATATTACGACTTCAATATTTGTGGCAGGTAGACGAATAAAATGACTTAAACTTGATTTTTATTTTGTCATATATTCTTTTGACAAACGACGTATAATCGAGAACGACTTAACTCGAAACGACGCAACCCCGGGTATACTTGTATATCTTATTGAAAATCTTCATTCTTTTCCATATTAGTAAATATACATTTGTGTGGATTATTTTTATAGAGAAGTCTTACAAATTTAATAGCAATAGGAAATGTTGGTAGAAACTTGAATACATATATAGTAATTTGTTTTAATTCATAACTAATTAAATAAATAAACTGAAGCAGACTTCAATAAACAAAACTTTCAATATAATGCCTGGGAATTCAATGAACAAAAAATTCAGTGAACGGTCAGTGTATTTAAAATCGATTTTATTCTTTTGAAGATTGCAGTCAGTGTGAAAGTAAAAGATGCCCTCACCCCGAAACCCTTAAACCCCTCTCCCCTGTTTGAAAAACCCTGTCTTAAAAGGAGCAACCTGTGTGGTCTTATTGAGTCAAAGCCGAATCTACTTTGTACATCACTGATTTGCTGTAACATCAAAACACTGATTGTATCACGATTGGACATCCTTATTTTTCTCAGCTTCCTCCTCGCTATTCTCTTTCAACGATTCAGCTTCTTATCTTACCGTCGTTAATGTTTCCCAAATTACCAATTTCGCAATAAAGGCTCAAACATACAATAACTTTGTTTATATATTATGACCTCAATACTATTTCGCTCAAAGTTATGCTCACCAGAGCAATTCGCGTTGCCTATGAGAATTTGTTTACCCTATTTCCATGATTATAGCCATTTATGTAACTATTTCGAGCAGTAGAGGATGACAGTAGTATTAAACACGGTTTGAAAGAGAAAGAAAGAAAGAAAGAAAGAAAGAAAGAAAGAAAGAAAGAAAGAAACTAGTAGAGGAAAACTGAGTTGGATAAAGAGGAAAGAAATTTAAATCTGAGAGAGTGAGGGAGATAATGATCGAGTGAGTGGAGGCAGGAGAATTATGAAAAGAAGAGTGAAAGTCATGGCATAAAAATTAGATTGACATATATGAATAGAACGAAGTAGATGAACCACCCAAATAGATTAATAGATTAATATTAACAGGATGGCTTATATATATATATATATATATATATATATATATAGTTAGTTAGTTAGTTAGTTTATGAAAAACTAGGTAATCCGTATGGGTAAACCTAAGGAGGATAAAATCCAGAGAGCTCAATGTAAATCCAGACAAAATAATTTAAATAAAAACAGACCACTTTAAGGTTCCATGTAATAAATTATTTCACCACAGCCCTTTTAAAGGACTGCGAATCATCAGACTTTACTTCCAAACAAAAAATTAAAAGCTTTTCATTTTTTGTTTGGAAGTAAAGTCTGATGATTCGCAGTCCTTTAAAAGGGCTGTGGTGAAATAATTTATTACATGGAACTTAAAGTGGTCTGTTTTTATTTAATATATATATATATATATATATATATATATATATGTATATACTGACACTCCCATACACACAATATATATATATATATATATATATATATATATATATATATATATATGTACTACACACATACACATAATATATATATATATATATATATTTGTACTCACACTCACATACACACACACACACACACAATATATATATATATATATATATATATATATATATATATATATATATATATATAAAGTCATCCACAGACAGACTGTTTCGCTGTTTCACAGCTCTTCGGTGTGGCTAGACATTCGGTTGCCTCTAGCTAGGATCGAAACCCGACTGAATTGTCAATCGGAGATTCTACCACTAAGTCGTCGGCGCACGGCAGGTATGAAGGTGAATTTTAGCGTATTTATTTTTAGATAAACACACACAGTGACCGACAGTGACTCAAATATATATATAAAATGCATAAAATGTATAACTTTATTTGTATTTGCGATAGAAATAATTTGTAAAATGGATTAGAAAGAAGTAAATCTATATTTTTTAAGGTTTTATTGAAATTTTATTTAACTTTCCACATGTCTTCCATCATTAGCAATACAAAGGCTAATACGATTTTGCAGTTCACGGAAAACATTTGCCAACTGATTTACAGTAATGCCTGAAATCACATTAGTTATTTTAGTTATACTTAAAACTAGGTACGTTAAACTTTATAACGTTTTTTACAGATTATTTCTATCGCAAATACAAATAAAGTTATAAATTTTTCAAAGTGCACACGGAATTTATGGACACCCTGTATATATATAAAATGAACCTAGCGGCGACAGTCTGTTTCATGCTTAAATGTAATCGTCAGGCCTGAAAATTTCGCTTAAGCATGAAACAGATTGTTGCCGCTGGGTGTTAACCTCAATGTTCACTTTCATATTTACATATACTCTAACTTTTCGCATTGAGCATTTTAATGCATGGATCTGATAATTAGTTCAATTGATTTATCAAACATCTGTCTCTGATGAACGTTTCGAATGTTTCTAACCATATATATATATGTGTATGTGTGTGTGTGTGTGTGTGTGTGTGTGTGTGTGTGTATACTAGGATATAGAAACTGAACAAAAGTGGAGAAATCAGAAAAACTGGAAAAAAATTTTGTTAATAAAAAATTTTACACTTTGATATATACATATATATATTATGTCATTCACAGACAGTACTGTTTCACAGCTCCTCAGTGCAACTAGACAACCGAATGCCTCAAGCCTGGATCGAAACCCAACTGATTAGGTGTCAGTCAGTCAGAGTCTCTATCGCCGAGCTATCTTCACTCGACAGAACGAGTCGCCCAAATCTAGCGTATTATTTTTACAAACGTAAACAGACGCCAAGCAGCCATAGTGCTCCATTCATTTTACTGAAGAGCTTCGCATTTACGCAGATGACCGTTGCCTTTAGAATTAGCTTGTCATTAAACAGTGCTCAATTGAAAATATATTTTCAAGAGCTATATATATATATATATATATATATATATATATATATATATATATATATATATATATATATATAGTACGGGTAATCGATCCGTTAGTATATAATCCGGGTGGATCCTAGTAATATTAATTATTAAAACCGATCCACAGTGAGATCGCTGTATTTATTATAACAGATCATATGTATTTTTTGCAACAAAAAAACAAAAATTACCTCAACAATTATCGCTAACACAAACAGATTCTCATTAACAAGGCGTCTACCAGAGGAGGACTGACATTGAAAATAAATTTAAAACAATGCTCCGAGACAGACACTTAGGGGCTGATATTAGCCGGCCACAGAACGTCTTGAAATAGACTATCTCTACGTTGAGGTAATTTTGGGGTTTTTGTTGTCAAATATATATACAATGTATGTGTGTGTTTGTACGTGAGTGTGTATATTTGTAACAAATTGAAATAGATGTAAACACTGTCAAATATTATATATATATATATATATATATATATATATATATATTGTTTCTGTGATTTCTCATCCTCGTCGCCACTATTGTAAAGCCCGTCTGTAGGAGTGACTTTGTAAGTCAGAGATACAACAATAATAACGCCTTCGAACAAGACTCGGGACAGACGCCGCTAATTTCCTTTACCTGTCACGTGATCTAATTATTTCAAGATCAAGTCGACTGTGTTTGCTCTCTGGCGATCCATGTTCAAACCCAAGTGTCGGCAGTGACACTTTATTCCTATATGACAGTAAAATAGATAGATAAATAGATAGATGAGAGTGAATGTGGAAAAAATAAGTATCATTGACAGATATATAGAGAAGAAGAGCGACTATCGGAAAAAAAGAGTGAGATTTTTCCCAGAAGAATTCCAGAGACTGTGTTCTGTGGCGAGAATAAAAATAATATCAATTAGAAGAAAAGTGAAAGGTCGACACGATTCTAGTGGAATGACTGAAAATGGAAAACAGATAATTTATTTCGAATTCACTTTCGACTTGATAAGTGAATACGCCTAATTCGTACTAAAAGAAGATATCTGCTCTTTTTTGAAGGTCACTCAGAGGAAGGGTGTTGGACATCAACGTTCGTCTGGTGTTTTGAACTGTATGTAACTTCACCATCATGATTAATAGCCGTATGAAAAGCCTAGTAACAACTGGGCTCAAAAGAAATAAAAACGACGCAAGAGAAGCATTTATATCAGATGTATATCAGAGAATCTCGGCGCCAAAAACGAAGACTAGAATTCTGGTCAATATATTGACTGCTATTTCCTTTTACGCATGCGCGTTTGAAAACTTCTTTCAGTGGCATCATTAAGATAAATTATATATTGATGAAAATGCTAAAGAATAAACGATGTTGACTTCGAAAATCATTGAAATCAGTAGCAAAAGTTCCATGGATGCACCACATAACTTAGTTTACCAGGATAAATATTTTTTGTGTAATAAAATTTATGAATAACTTTTAGGATAAATGAACAAGCGAGTAGAGTAGTGTAAGCAGCGGAAGCCCCTATACCACTCTCGTACCAGTTTTATGCTCAGACTCAGAAAACGTGGATGAATTGAGTGAGGCAGTGACGATATCTGCTTCTATCTTTTGGAGAACATAAAGGTATAGCGAGGTGCCGATACTTTTTACAACAAAGTGATTCATTTATTTAGTAAAAAGAAATGACGAATTACTTTACAAGTAAATAAGTTTTAAATACATCATAATTTTTTGTTTTTATATTTTCTTAGATTTCTAATCTATTAACGGTCATCATGGATCCGGTTTCAAAGTCACCTTCCGTCACCGATTTCGACTTTTCTCGTTCTTTGATTGTCTAGAAATGCGAAACGAGTAATATTTTATTCAGGCAACTAATCCGACCACAAAATAGAAGCCAAATAAATACACACAAAAAAAATCTGTTTTAAAGACTTCGCTGCCATTTAATCAATAAAATTAATAAACACACAGGAAAATGCTAAAATTCCCGTGATATTTTATCTAACAAATAAAATTACGTTATATCTCGTTTAAATAATGAGAGCTGAAAATTCAAGGAATGATAGCGTAATTATAAAAATCGAAGACATTTTTTTTTATTAAAAAATCATTTAAATGGTGATTGATTATTATAACACGTGGAGTGTAGTGTAGTGTTTATATTGCACGACTGGGTGAAAGCTGCCAACGGCCAATACGGAGCTATGTCTCAGATGTTTGTCAAGAACTTGGAAAGGTGATGGGCACCACAAAGCTATCTGACACCCCACTGAAAGGAGGGAGACGAATCAAAGCAACACCGTGCCAGATCTATCGGGGCCCGTATCAACAACGGCTTAGCGTCCCATTGACTCAGTGCGGTGACTATTGGGTAACTGGAGCGACAAACACCATCGACCTACCAACGCAGGGTACAACTATCAGAATGTGGAACGTTCGCACCCTCTATGTTTTTAGAGAAACAGTGGACGAACATGACATTGCCGGAACTCCTGAGAACCACCGTCAACAGATCAGACTGGAGGAAGATGTCGCTATCTTCTTCCCTCAGGTATCCACGCCGATTGAAGCAGTCGAGAGACTAATGATGATGATGATGATGATGATGAAGACGATGATGACGATGATGATGACGATGATAGTGACGATGATAATGACGATGACGATGATGATGACGATGATGATGACAATGATGACGATGATGACAACGACGATGATGACGACGACGATGATAATGAATAGGATGATGATGACGGCGATGATGACTATGATGCTGACGATGATGGCGACGATGATGATGACGACGATGATGACGAATATGATGATGATGATAGTGATGATGATAGTGATGATAGTGATGATGATTCTTTTTTTTAATTTATTTATTGGAGTCATTTCCATTCACTTTTTCTGAAATTTTCTAAAAGAAACAGCATTTATTTCAGTAATTCAGAAAAATAATAGAAAACTAAGAGTCAGTAAGACTGTCTCAAAAGTGCGTCTTAGTTTGGATTTTTTTATCCGGTTTCAGTTGCTGTACTCTTCACAGAAATATATTGAGCACGATCCGAAGAACAAAAATGATTCACAGCGATCATTCCAGAATTCAAAAACCGCAGATGTACAGCAGGAATTGTAAGAAAGAAAACAGAAATTATCACTAATATTCATATCAAAGTTTTAGATGAGATAATGGTTTTTCTTATACAAATTCTGTTATTCAACCCATAGCTTGGGGAGTAAAGAAGATTCATATCATTCTCAAAGGTTTTTGCGCGTAAGTGAATGTAACGTTCTTGACTTGAATTCGAACTCACTTCTCTGATTTCTCATTCCGATCTGCCATCGAATGCACCATCGGCACGCTTGCGGGTAGAAACTCTCTTGTCAGAAAAGAAAAACTGTCAAAACTAAATAGAGAAACTTATAAACATTTCCTTGTCCTTCACATTTAATGAAACATGTATAAAAGAAGGATTGCTGCAGAAATATATTGCTCTCTTTCTTTCCTTCTTTCTATCTTCATATATATATATATATATATATATATATATATATATATATACACGAATAAAGGCAAAATGAAAAACTTTTCTTAACCTACGCGTTTCCTACTCCTCGGGACTTTATCAAGGCTTTATCCTTCCTCAAAGGACGAAACGGTCGTCTAAAATAATTTTTCTTTTTGTCTTTATATTGTCCTTTTACAAATATTCTATTTGGAAAATTTTACATATATGTATATGTGTGTGTATACGCGCGCATGTATTTCTGTTTATTTATATATATATATATATATATATATATATATATATATATATATATATATATATACAGTGTAACCCGGATATAAGAGAGTTGTCGGGACCGGAGAAGAGGTCTCTTATATCCGGGTTTCTCTTATATCCAGGTTTGGTCTATTTTGTTTAGGTAAGTATGGGAACACTACATATAACGCTTTTTACGTACAGAACACTAGTTTATTTAACAGTTTAAAAAAACACAGACAAAAATACATTTTCAATCAGTTTTCAAAAATTACTTTTTCTTAAAAAAGTCAGTCATTTCTTTGTTAACATCATGAACACCTTCATACAGTCCGTAGATCATGCGCCATCAGGATTACTGCTTTTTGCTTCAAAGTAGGCTGTCAGAGTTTCAAGCGCATTCAATGCAGCCAGAGAATTTGGCACTGGTTTGTCACTTTCAGAAACTTCAGAACTTACGCTTTCAGCATCATCATCTTCGTCAAAATCTTGATCATCCGATTTTATGCTACGTGTGATGTCCGTGTCAGTCAGTTCTCCATAACATTGTGTACGGTCGTGGAAGCTGATAAATTCGTCAAAATCTGTTTGCCGTGGTTTTGCCGACTTACCAACAACTACAGCTTGCTTTTCACTGCCGTCAATGTTTGTGAACTGAAGCATCGTGAGTCTGTCTTTGGGAACTTTTGTCCCATTTGACTGTTCGTCCCCGGCAAATCGCAAAGATCCAGACGGCATGGCTTTGTAGAAAATTCCCGTTTCATCACAGTTCCAAACATCTTTTGGATCATATCCACGAAAAAGTTGCGGCAAAACGTTTGTCACCCATTCGTTGGCAGAACCGTGATCTGCTGACGTTGATTCGCCGTGAAATTTTTGAACGAAACGTTATTGGCCTGCTTCCAGCGCATGAGCCAGCCATTGCTCGGTTCAAAATCAACTTCAAGATTTACGGCCAGTTGTGATGCCTTCTGCCTGATGACGTGATCGGTGACGTTAGCTCCATGAGCACATGCTTGCGTAAACCATTGTGTAAGCGCTTCGTTAACGTCCTTGTGCACGGATTGGCGCTTTCGTTTGCGATTAGTGTTTCCGTTCATTTGCATGCAAGATCTGAGATCGTCTTCTTTCTTGAGAATTTTTGCTGCTGTTGAATAACCGATTCCGTACTTTTTGGCTGCAGCGGCCAGTTTGAGTTTCTTCACTTTGATATTGTCGATGAGATCCAACTGTTCAGAAATGCTCAGAGTTTTTCGTTGAGACGCCGACATCACTAATCGCAATGATCGCAAGCAAACGGTTTTCAGTGGCAAAATTAACAAACAGACAAACTTCTGACTCAACAGAACAGTGGGTAAAGTGAAAGTGCTGTCCAGTAAATGCAACGACAAGCAAAGTCGGCAAAAAGCAGGCGACGCTACCCTTAGACACACAAAGCAAAATCATAAGGTAGAGGGTGTCTCCTACAGACACAGATTGGACACACCGTGTCTCTAGACTAGTCAAGATTAAGTCATTGAACTTCACTCTCTCTCTAACTGACCTCTGTTTGACCGATTTACGACATCACACTCAAAACGAATTCTCTTATATCGGGGAGGGCGGGACCAGAGAAGATCTTTCTTATATCCGGGTTTCTCTTATATCCGGGTCTCTTATATCCGGGTTACACTGTATATATATATATATATATATATATATATATATATATATATATATAGAGAGAGAGAGAGAGAGAGAGAGAGAGAGAGAGAGATAGCGAGTGAGATAGAGGGTACGATGGATTAATTGTCGTCTAAATTACGCAAAAATGCAAATAACACAGACATCTCATTTTAACAGATATATTTACCAAAACTGCACAAAAATATCTTGAAATACTAAAGAGTAAATTGATTCAATAAAATAGCCATTGGCTTCAACCACAACCACCAGAAGACTTCATAATCTATTGCAACTGACGGTCTCCTTGTTGGTGAATGCTGCCATAGACCTTGTCTTTATTTCATCTTTGGTTTTACAAGGAGTTTTGGTGGTCTCCCACACAACTGCGTGCCACACATAATAATCAAGGGGTTTAGAGTATGGAAGCTTAGGAGGCCAGATGTAAGGGGTGATGCGGTCGCAGAAATAGTCTAACAGCCATGACTGGGGTCTCCTGATTGTGTGGCATGGTGCAAAGTCCTATTGCCAGACATAGGGTCTGCCAGCAGCCACCCTCTTGACTCAGGACTGTATTACCTCCTCAAGACACTTGATGTAGTCCTCCGTGTTGAGTCTGAAGCTCTTACCAACAAATTCGGGTGTTCTTTTCTTATCAGAACGATCAGAGTGAGTTTTCTCAAAAATTTATTGCTGGTAATAATTTTTTTCAAAAAATGTATTATTGGTATTAAAACCAATTTTTACACTTTCATAATGTTTTCATCCCAGTTTGGAGATTAACTATTTTCCCGTAGCTGGGACCCTAACAGCTGCTACCAACACAGGTCAGGGTGGACCTGGGAACACCAGCAATTAAGAGGTGATTCCACGCATCTCAAAACCTCCTGACCAGAGGCCTTGCTGTTGGATGTAGTCTATTGTCTTACCCAGGACACAGGATTAACAGAGTACCAAGAAAAGTTATTTGTGTATTTTTATTTCGATATTATTAAATTATATCGTTTGGCTTGTTTTGTATTACGGCATATCAACCTCAATGGGTTTATTAAGGCCAACAAGATTTTTATTGCTGGTAATATTTTTTCCTTCAAAAATGTATTGCCAGTAATATTGCATTGCTGGTAATAATGTATTGCTGGTAATAATTTTTTCTTTGAAAATTTATTGCTGGTAATAATTTTTTTCGTATTACTGGTATCAAAACCAATTTTTACACTTTCAAGCGCCCTGACTCCAGTTTGGGGGTCAACCACTTGCCTACAGCTGGGATCCCAACAGGTGCTAGCACCCCGAGTTAGAATGGACATGGGAACACTAGCAATTAGTGTGTAAATTACTCTCTCGAGTAGTTTGTAGAACATTATTCATCATATCCCAGTTGCTCTCAGGGGCGGCTCCGTCGAAGGACAGAGTCGCATCTGAGGAAAATTATACTGAGAGGTGCCTAGCCCTATGGAAAAGCTGTCTGAGGCCGCGCCCTCCCATTGCACCAGAGAGAGTGATCAGTGATTGCACCGAGACCAGCGCGACCGATTGTTCCTAGCCCGGGTGTACGCACTCAGACTCCCCACATTAAACTGACCTTGTGTCACAACCTGACCTAGTGGGGGTTGAGTAAATACTCGATATGACATCTATCAGCTAAGTGACAACTTTTATTTCTATTAATCCTGGACACACACACACACACACACACACACACACACACACACACACACACACATGTTTTGATATATATATATATATATATATATATATATATATATATCAAAACTTATTAAAAGAAGGCTTCAAATCGGCCACGCCTAAAAGTAAAAATTTACAAGTAAATAAATGAATAAATATTTGTAAAAAAAAAAAAAGCTGTAAGGAGGCCACGCCTAAAAAAGCACAAATAAAAATGGCCAATGCTGGACATCCAAGAAACAAGTGGGGGCACAACAGAGCTACACAACAAATATAGTAATATCGAACAGTACCTTTTCCTACCCGGGTTTCGATCTTATGGTCTCATCAGGTGACTTACTAGACGGGTAAAAAACGTCCAGTTAGCTGCCTAATGAGATCATAAGATCGAAACCCGGCTCAAAAAGGTAATGTTCAATATTACATTATTTATATATATATATATATATATATATATATATATATATATATATATATATATATATATGTATGTATAGTGAGGCGCAAATTTATTCGTACAGTACAATAATTTTATTTAAAATAATATAATTCACATTTCAAATATTGAAAAAAAAAATGTTTTTTTCTCGATAAAAGATAGAATAGGCGTTCAATAAATATTCATAAACCATTTCAGAAAATTTTTTTCTGATAAATTATCATTATGAACACAACATTAACAGACTGAAAAAGAAAAAATTATCTGTATGCCAGAAAATTATTTTAAATATTTATGAGATTCATAAAATGCGTAATATTTCTCTCATGTTATGATAAGGTGTATGAGGATCTATCTGTGAGCTATAAATCTTTAAAAGAATTTAAGTTTACCATGCTAAAAATGCGCATTGTTCACTTTAAGTCGGGTATCAAAAACATTGTGAAGGTGAAAGTTGTCCGTGAATTGAAAACAACGAATTATGGACGATTACAATTCAGGTATGCATTTGCTGTTGAAACATTTCTCAAGGCTGGTGAATCTGTAATTGTAACACTGAGAGCTGTTCGTGCTCTTTACATGTTACGTCGAAATGACGCTGCTTCGGATAGAAAATCGACATTGCTATGGGTTAAAATTTTCAGGGCCACAAGTCCAGCGCTTCAAAGAAAACCCCCTGGAAGACATCGAATAGCTTGAAATTATGGATAATAGAAAACTTGAGAAATTTGCTACAACAGTGTATGGCGAATAGAGGCGACCACTTAGAGGATGTCATTTTTAAAACCAAATGAATAAAAACTGTAGTCCTTTGTTTAAACAACAAATACGTTTTTAATAGAAGTTAATTTGGTCTTTTTGTCAACCTTTAAAATGTGGGAGGTATTGCCAACTTTTAAATCTGCTGTCAACATCTGCGTTGTCTGAAAGCTATATCTCTTAGATGAGCTATTATGATTACGTGTATTATTTACATTATTCGGACTGTTATCCTCATCTTCATGCCATGTTCACGTTTCGGCCGTTGTACGCTCCGGCCTTCTTCAGGTGATTGGACTTTCGAACCGAACCCTTTATTTCGTCCACCGGAGTAGATTGTTTTAGTTTCACCCTTTATCTGCCGTGGCCTGGTTACAACACTTTTAGTTTAGTTACTGGATCTAACTAATCCACTGAGCCATGTATCCTTGAGGACATCTGTGTATGAATTTTTGGGACTTATAGACCTAATGTCTCAGCAACTATTTTTTTTACTAGTGCTCATATTGCAATTTTTTGTTGTTATTATTATTGCATTTTTTACCAGAGCTTATATTGCATTTTTTTGGGTTATTATTGCGTATTTTTTACTAGAGCTTATATTGCAATTTTTTGTTGTTATTCATTGTTTTTTTCTAACATTTCTTATTACTGGTTACCATATTGTATTCATTTCTATGCTTGGTCGACCAAAGAAGACTGAAGAAGGCCGGAGCGTACAGCGGCCGAAATGTTGTGAACGTAGAAATGAAGATGGGGATAACAGTCCGAATAATGTAAATATTGCGTCTCTTCTGGACATAAGCGAAGATGGTTCTCTGCAACCAACAAACCCTTGTGGTCATTAACATTTTGTCATCGTTAGTGAAGAGGACAAGGTCCATTAATAAACACGATAATGAATTATTCTTTGAATGAATGACCAGCTCGTTCACCTACCGCCTAAATGAACAAAGATCTCATTTGCTTTTGGCTCGGAAACATTTATTGACTTTACATCTATCGTTCATTTAGAGGTTTGTTGAACAAAGACTTAACTCAAAATCAAAGAATGGTACAAACCTAATGGCGAAAACTTTACCTGGTAATGTTAAAAAAAAAATGTTACCTGGCACAGGAATTAACTTCTGACCAGAAGTGAAGTAAAATTTTCTTCCCATTTTATAGGTGAGAACTTACCCAGTTCCGGGGATCTCACTCCTGTACCAGTACCTTCCTCATTGCAGTAAGAGAGGTGGGATCGGTGTAATATCGATGTCAGCTTGACAGTGGTCGCGGAGAGTGGGCAATTCTTTTTTTCTTTTCTTTTTTTTTGTCCTTAGCCCATATGCATACGTATGTGTATGTCGCCCTCATGTTAAAACGACCTTGTGTCTTGTCTTGAAGAAATCTTTTCTGATATGGCTTTTATTGAATAGTTTCACAATGGCTGAGTCAATACTGATGCACTTAGTCACATAGAATGAAATGCGACTAAACACTTGAATTGGTGCATAAATAAAAAAAGAGATACGCATGTATTACTTTCTGCGGAGTGATGAATTTGAGTGTTAATTCAGTATTGGAGTGTGAGTTCAGTATGAATTTGAGTGTGATTTCAGTATGAATTTGAGTGTGAGTCCAGTATAAATTTGAGTAATAGTTCAATATAAATTTGAGAGTAGGTTCAGTATGAATTTGAGTGTAACTTCAGTATGAATTTGAGTGTGAGTCCAGTATGAA